GGGGGATGTGACCGCGCACACACACACACACACACACACACACACACACACACACACACACACACACACACACAGAGCAGACAGAGAGAGAGAGAGAGGGAGAGAGAGAGACACAGGGTATCAGCACGTGTTGCTGTGCGCCACGGCGTAGCTGTGGGGGGGTCCACTTGTTTTAAGAGAAAACTTCAAATGCGGGAAAACATCCAGTGGCTTAGCTCAGTTGGTAAGGCAAGCAGGTGGCATTTAGGAGGTCTTGGGTTCAATCCCCATTGGCCTCATGCACCTTCCTGGGCAAGCTTGGCGCCCACCACCTAGAGATATGTCGTTGGTCCCCTCGAGTGGCATTGACGTTCATAGGGGGAGGGAACCAAAGGGGAGGTACAGTGACTGGCTCAATAATAAAGCTCGGTTCTGATGCTACCGGCTGACCCCTGGCCGGTATCGCCCACCTGCTGTAGCAGGTATCTCACCTGCTGGTGGGTGCAGCTCCCGAATGTTCCCTCGTTGGAGGCTTGAGGGATGTGGCTGCGACGGGGTTCCCTGTAATACTATGATGGCAATAAAAAAGGCCCAAAAGGCCGTCCTGTCCAGATTTGACAGGTAATTGAATTGGTTGGGGAATTAGGGTCTCGTTAGTCACTCCTAAAAGTGCCTGTTTTTAGGATTGCGTCTTCGTTGCACGCAATCCTAAATCCAATTTCGAGATCGAAAATGTGAAAACGGCGTTAGGACGAGTCCTAAAGGATTTAGGATTCCCCCGGCAAAATCGTCCTAAATTTTCCAGTAGCCCCCGACCTACTGAGAAATTTAGGATTCCCGCGTTTCACGGACTCGTTGCGTCGCGCGCATGGCACCGTCGACACGGGGTTGCTGGTCCAGGAGCGGTCCGTCGGGTGGGTGGTCGGACATCGGAGGTTTTCTGCGGGTCGATGCCGACAACGGCCACCAACAGTAGCCGTTGGCCGACGGGTTGGAGCGCGGGGGGCCAAGCGTGGGCGGGCGGGTGTTCGTAGTGGACCGTTGGCTCGGTTGCGGGTAGCGAAGGAGGACGGTGACGTGCACAGGACAACATACGGAGGCACTTCGGGCAGTGCACGAGCGGCAACGGTCGATTTTGAATCGCAGGCAGGCACCTTAAAAAGGTTCTTCCAATATTAAACGTTCGCACAACTATACGAACCAGGCAACCGTGTCCACACGATGAAAACAACAGAGGAACTCATCGACGACAACCATGCCGCCATTCAATCGACCCAGCAACTTCGCGCACGACGACCATGGACATGGACCACGTGACAATTCCACCCGTTACCCATCGCACCAACCCACGTCCTCCCACCTTCCCCCCGCCCCCCCTCCTCCCTCCCATCCGCACGGTCCTACATTAAAGTTAGGCGGTCTCGAAGTGCATCCCACAACAAGTCCCCGTCCACGTTCGTGCTCCGTCGCCGCCCGCCCGCGCCTTTCCCCACAATGCCCAAGTCTACTCTACGCCGAACGCCGTTCGCATCCACCTCCCACAAAAGGTTCTCATCGAAGTCGATCCCCGAGTCGAGGAGGATGTTGTGGAGAGTGCACACGGCCACGAATTGTTGTGGCAAGGTCTCCAGGTTCGTCTTGTGGGTGTGCAAGAACAGACGCCACATGCACTTCAGTCGCCCGAATGCCCTCTCCACACACCCCCGCGCCACCTTCTGCCTCGTGTCGAAGCGCTCCTCGTCAGGACCTTGGTCGATTCCTCCGTACGGCTGCACGATCCATGGACAGACAACTGGATAACCGTTGTCGCCCAGCAGGTAACCTCACGTGACGACACCGTGCGGCAGATTCTCCGAAGGTGCGTCGAACAGCTTGCCAGTTTTTGCACGCCTCCACAACTGGGAGTTGTGCAAGACACGGACGTCGTGCACACTTCCCGGGTATCCAACGTGGACGTCGAGGATCGGCAAATCCAAATCCACCACCACCTGCGCCTGCACGGAGAACTTCTGTTTTCGGCCGTAGTAGTTGTCCGAAGGTGCGTCGGCGCGCTTGTCAATGTAGATGTGTGTACAGTCGATTGCGCCGAAGCAGTTTGGGAAACCCTTCTCACGGAAAGCGTGCAGAATCTGCGCACGTCTACGGCCCACTGGCCACTTTATCGCGTTGAGGTACGCCTGCAGAAGCACCGAAGTGACGTCGCGGACGGGCTGCAGTCCAGTTGCCCTGCCGATGCCGAAGGCTGACGTGCCGCTCTCGTACGTCTCTCCAGACGCCCACCTGTACAACGCGAAAGCAATCACCTGCTCTACTGGCAATGGCATCCTATAGTGCGTGACCTTCTTCTCCACGTACGTGGTGCACGCGGCTACGATCTGGGTGAACATGGCCATCGACATGCGCAACTTCTGCCGGTAGTACTCGTCCGTCGCGTCATCACACAGACGGAGGTCCTCCCATGTTCCGCCAATCCGTCGTCTAATCCACCAACGTGGGGTCTGCCGCGGAAAAATGCCAGACGACAGCACGACACACAACTGGACGACTGCCTCACACGTGGCCGCGCAATCCGACGCTTCGGCAACGCTCTGCAACAGCGCTCTTCGTTTACGGAGCTGGATCAGCATGTCGCGTGAGGACGACGACATGTCGCTCATCGTGCTGACGCCGATGACAGTCACCGTCATTGCCATAGCGTCGATCTCTTCTTCGCGTAGACCGTGCCCGCAGCTGCGAACGTCCATCTCTGAGAATTGTTCCGCCTCCACAGCATAACGCTTGCCATAGCTGCCGAAGACACGCCCGCTGCTCAACCCTGCTGCAGGAGACCACGCATGCCGGAGCCGAAGATGCGCCCGTTGCTATATGCTGCCACAGGAGATGACGTACGCCGGAGCCGAAGACGCGCCCGCTGCTCTACGCCTCCACAGGACAGTACGCACGTCGGAGGTGAAGATGCGCCCGCTGGTCACAACTTGCGTAGACTCGAAAGGCGGATACCCAAGCCGAACGGTTCGCCAACGCCTTCTTTTCTACGTCACACGTGTCGCCTGGTCGTCCTCCGCCCCGCCACCCTGCGCCCGCGAAAATTCGAATTTGAATTTTCGAAGTTGGGGCTGACCGCGCTTTTCACCGACCCGTCCTCACCCGCCCAAGGGCCACCACAATGTGTACCACGGACACCAGCCAGGAATGGACGGACATCGGCGACGCGGCTGTGTATACACATATGAAAACTAGCCACAGGAGACCTTTTAGGACGAATCCTAAAAGATGATTTTTAGGATTGCGTGTAACGACGCCACATGAAATCCTAAAAAACCTTTAGGACTCGTCCTAAAAATTTTAGGATTCTTTTAGGAGTGTCTAACGAGACCCTTAGCCTTAAAAAAGCGGGAAAACCCACTTAACGAGGTGATACCTTTCTCGGCCTTTTGGCCAAAACGAGGTGATACCTTTCTCGGCCTTTTGGCTAAGATCAAGTTAGTCAAGTATAATAGTTTCGTTTGTAGGAATCTGGACTTACCTGTTGCACCCAAATGTGTATACTCTGACACTGCTGCCGATTAATAAATCGGTCTGAGCACTATGCTGCGGTAGGCAACCGTGTCTGTCCGAGTGAAAAAAAAAAAAGAGCAGCTCCGTTAAGTGAGTCCCAGTGTTGAAGGCTCCATCTATTGGTGGGGAGCTACACTTGCTGGAAATTGGGTCCAGCGTCCCTGTACAATGGCATACATCTGCTGGAAATCGGGTCCAGTGTCCGTGTACAATGATGTGTAAGGATGTTATATCCAATACTGTCCAATACTGTGTAAGTGCAAATGTAAAATCAGATTATCCGTACAGAGCTCAAGCCCCGTGTCCACAATGTCCACCCAAGTGTGATATCAACAGAGTGTATCCCTAAGCAGCAGGAGGCATTGATTACTTCCCAAAAGCAGGGAAGGATTGACCTCCTGCCATGGCTATGATTAGTACCCCAGAATAGATTAACCTCCTGCCGCACCTCCAACTCAATCAAACAAGACGAGTGATGAATCACCGCAAGGAGCCCCACCCTACCGGTGGCGAAAGAACCCTAAGGGTGGGCAGCAGCTCCCCCCAAACTGCCAGCCATTCTCATAGCGCAAGTTCTAATCCCATCTCCCCGGCCCGACAAACACATATTCATCTGGGGAAATTCACTTGTCACATATTCGACAAGGGTGAACCTACTCTAACAGACGGAGCATATGCCACACACTGTAGTTCAGAGAGAGGAGGCTACCCGTCATCTAATAGTTCAAGGTTAACCCACTCTTCCAGGTGGAGCTGGTGCCACACGCTGTAATTAGGGAAAGAGCGGCCTACCTATAGACAGGTGACAACTCATCAGCCGCTAACCCAACCCCCCCTTTTTTTTTTTTTAACACCCGTCCGAGTGCTAAGGGTGCTGATACGAGCACTCACCTCTAGCGCCGTTGGGGGGAGCTACCCGAGGACAAGTGGAAAATATTGGGCAAAAGGAGGGGAGAGTCGAGTGGTGGATGGGAGGGGGGAAAGAGGACTCACAATCGACCTCATGCCCGAAGTGCCTGTGATGCATAAGCCCCTGTGTAGCAAATCTGCCGCTGCTATTGATATTGCCAGAGTGATCGTCGCTGCTGTTGTTGTCAGTGTAGCCATTGCAGTTATTGCAGTCGTTGATGACCTTGTTGTTGTCAAGGTAATTATCGTTGGAGTTAATCTTGTTGTTGTTGTTGTTGTTGTTGTTGATGATGAAGATGTTGTTGTAATAGCCGCCACATCACTGGTTGTTGTATCGATTCCGTTATTGTAGTCACTGTAGCAGCCATCATCTCATCCCTGTTGTCGTGGATGAGATGATCCAACACTCGTTCTTCAGGCGAGACCAGAAGAAACTGTTGTCCTTCAAGCCCCCTTATCAATGAATCGTCATCGCAGTCCTTTTGATGGGTGGTCTATCGCAGACACCTGTCTTCACTCTCAGCGAACCACTCCTGTGAACGCTCTTCCAGCACGGCTCGCAGGTCATGAGCCTCCTCAAAAAGCGCATAACACCACTCCATCAAAATATTTGCCTGCCCCCAATTGATGAGCCTGTCCAATCGCGGATCTGGCCCCTCCTCAGCTTCCCAAATGATTTCCAAGGTGAACTGAGTCATGCCCTCCAGCCATTGCTCCAGCGAGGCCACCCCCCCATTGACCTCTGGCCAAGCCTTGGCTGTCGTGGATAGGACATTCACCAGAACCTGCAATCGTTGCCCACCCGCCTCGAAGAATGAAATCCACCGATCAGCTTCATGTTGTGGATCACTGCTTATTGACGCCATGACTAGCCACAGTATATGTCCACACGTGCCCAAATGAGATGCCCCCTCAGTAAAGAACGCGCCGTCTGATTAACAAGCTTAAACGCCCGTCGCCGATGTACAGTCTCCTGTCATGCCAGGTGGAAAATGCACCATCGCCCGGGCAGAGTGACCAAGCGGACAACAGGAAAAAAACAGGGGCAGCTATGGCCGCCAATGCCACTGCCCCAATCCTCGCCGGTAGGTTCGCAGCGCAGTTTAGCGCTTGAGCGATAGTGCATCCTACTGAAAATTTATATACATATGTAATGACCCGTCAAAACACAGACTGAGAACACTGCTGATTTCTGAAGTTCTGCCGATGGAATGGATGCCTTGCTGAGATTCCCGCATTCTGCTGTGTTTTCTAAGTCTGTCTGTGTGTGTGTGCTTGTGACCTGCGTGCCTGACTGAGTGCTTGTCGGTATGAGTGTGTGTGTGACCCGCAAGGGTACTTGCTTGTTTGGCAGGCCCGTAGCGCCGGTACTTACCTGTGGCCGTGGAATTGAGGGTTGTAGCAGGGAAAAACACTCAAGTGGCGAAGCTAGCGGCCCCGCGGCCCTTGGGATAGCGGAAAAACACTCAAGTACGCAGGTAGGCCGAAACTGCACCCCACTGCGGTTGGCGTGAAGGGGTACTGGAGGCCGAGCAGAAAAAGACAAAGTTGGCATTTTTAGAGTCCAGTAGCGGTAGGGTAGGTCTAGGCCGGTACCAGTCCAACCAGTCTGAGTCTAGAGCCTGTACGGGTAATATCAGGGTCTGCAATGATGTTTCCCTCCGAAACGGAGGAAGTACCGGTTGCTTGGAGAGGCCGAGCGGCCTGGAAGTCACCGCCCAGAAGGCAAGTAGGCCGCTATATCAAGAGGCCGGGCGGAGAGCCCAGCCTCATTCTTCAGTGTGCAAGTTTGGCGACACGCTGCTGGAGCGCTGG